GCGGATTAGTGAGTAATGCGTCAGGACATAGTCGCTGGAGTTGCAGCGGATATATTTCGGTGTAATAGTTTTTCCCCGCCTTCAGAGCACGCGCTGACGTCTTTCCCCGCAACTGAGCAGCATCTGTAATGCTCACTATTAGTGCGGTTAATGCTCATTTAGATTACGCTCAGATAGCGACCGCTGTCCGGCGTAAGACGCCGGGCCGCATATAAGATCACGCGTGGTCGGCACCGCGTGTGCCCGTAAGCGTCAAGTCAGTGGGAACCACTTTGCGCGTTCGAAGTGTCCCCTGGTATCGCAAAAAGCTATACATTTATGTTAGCTTGCGGTGCAGTCGAGCCGACATAACCGGTCGCTAAAACGCCTCTACCAACCCCAACGCCAGTACACGCGGGGGCCGCACTGCCATTGTTTTATACGTGCCATTGTTTGGCCGACCCGTTCTAGTGCATGTTTTTATGCCGATTTTGAGCATTGTTTTATAATTTATATTAATTTGTTTTATCTCGCCATTAGTTACTATACTATTTTCTATGGCTGTATAGCAGAATCCTTTGTCCGACAATCGACAACATTAATAAGTGAGAAGCCGATACTATCTCTTTCCTCTCTCCTTTCTGTATATATATATATATATATTATATATGTATATATATATAGAGTATCAAAGAGCTCATCAAGACCGAGAGCTATTCTTCTATTACCTCTTATCTCTATTAAGGGAGCTGCTTGATACTCCTAGGAGCTATATATAATATAGTATGATACCTAAGCATATAGAGAGAGAGAGAGAGAGAGAAAGAGAGAGAGAGAGAGAGAGAAGAGAACCGAGCCGAGAGAAGTAGAAAACACACCGAACACCCGGCATATGCAAAAATAAATGGAGAAAAATACAATATAAAAACTCATAAATTAAATTTATAAATTAAAATTAACACGCTGTTCTATTTTATTTATTACTATATATTATATATATATATATATATATATATATATATACACACACACGCACCACGCCGCGCGCGCAGGCACACACACAACACACACACACACACACACAACACACACACAGCCACACACACACCCACACAACACACACACACATCACACACACACACACACCGCCACACACACAGCACGTGAGAGATAGTTAACCTATAGGTCTATACCGTGACACAAGGCGCCCGAACTTTCAAATGGCGCTTGATGCGCTTTGATTGCGCATTGATGCTCTTCAACGCGGTTATGTAACACACCAGATACGTTTGTAATTCGCATCAAGGCACATTATTCTTCAATGCCACATACCGTATGTGGATTGAGCAGTTCGCTTACGGTTCGATTCGATTCGGTTCGGTTCTGTTTTGGCGTGTGTCCGAGACGATAATTTTACAACACGCGGTTTCTGTTCGTTTGGGATTGGATATGAGAAATCACGTGGGTTCTCGTGAAATCCTGTGATTGGATGAATGAAATTCACGTGGTGTTCTCGTGAAGCAATCCTGTGATGGATGATAAATCACGTGGTGTTCTCGTGAAGATCCTGGGTTGTTGGATTTGCGTTCGGTTGCGTTTCGATTTGCGTTCGGGTTTGTTCGGTTGTCAACGATATCACATATAAATCGAATAATTGTCAATTTCCGCTTTACAAGGCGCATCAATGCCATTGGTCAATACCGAATCGGTGTGTCAGGTATATTAATTAGTTCTATATCGAGCATACGTGCTGGTGCCTTCTTATATTATCATGAACAAGGTACGGCTGTTGAGTCTTTAACCATATATGTAACTCCTATTCATGATTTTAGGTTCAGCCATTAATGTAAGCCTATTTTTGGTGTTGCCCTAAGATAGAATGTCAACAGCGTCTTAATTCCACGAGGAAACTTGCATGCAACATCAAATGTAAACTCATGATAAGATGCTCGGCCCGACCGCTTGTGTGATAATGGGATGGGGGCAAATGCATTGCAGCGCACCTGCATGTGTATGTACTATAATATATATATACTAATATATATATATATATATATCTTGTGTGTGTGTGGCTGTGTGTGTGTGGTGTGGTGTGTGTGTGGTGTGGTGGTGTGTGTGGTGTTGTGTGTGTGTGTTGGTGTGTGTGTGTGTGTGTGTGTGTGTGTGTGTGTGTGATGTATGTGTTGTGTGCGTTGTGTCGCTGTGTGTGTGTGTGGTGTAAATATATACCTAGTATTATTATAAGTTATTATATATATGTGTGTGTTGTTTGTGTGGTGTGTGTGTGTTTGTGTGTGGTGTGTGTGTTTGTGCGTGGCGTGTGTGTGTGTGGGCCCGTGTGCGTGTGTGTGGTGTGTGTGTTGTGTGTGGTGTGTGTGTGTGTGTGATGTGTGTGTGTGTGTGTGTGTGTGTGTCGTGTGTTGTTGTGTGTGTGTGTGTGTGTGTGTGTGTGCTGTTATGTTGTACGTGTGTAATGTGATGCACGCACACCTATGTTATCAGCTCGCCGCATAGTCACGATGACGTCCACACGACAGCTAGACAATTCCCAGGTGGCGCCAGCGTCCGCCGTTGTTTGTACGCGTCGGCAACAATACCAGCGCCGTTACGCGGCCGTTCTGCGCGACCGACCGATCATATAACCGCTGCAGCTATCGTAAAAAAACTTCTATTATGCGTGACGCGGTCGGCTAGCTGGTGGCGGTGTCCCTGCCGCTCGCTGCGTGCGTGCGCGCGTGCGTGCGCGTGCGTGCAGGTGCTACGCGAGCACTATAGTTGCTAGCATGAGGGGCGTATCTGGTGGTGGCTGCGTTCGTCTCTGGCGTACCTGGCCTCGCCCGCATGCTAACGGCGGGGCGGTGATGAATAATGAAGGCTGTTAATTACACTGAGTGTTGTTTGATCGTGGACCCGCATGATGAATCAGTCCGCAGTCTCCCAGAGACGAGACACAACAAATCAACAATCACACCACGTATGTGTGTGTGTGTGTGGTGTGTGTGTGTGTGTGTGTGTCGTGTGTGTGTTGTTGTGTTTTGTGTGCTTGCGTGTGTGTGCGTGTGTGTGCGTGTGCGTGCGTGTGCGTACGTTCGTGTGAGTATGCGTGTGTGTGTGAGTGTGCGTGTGTGTATGTGTGTATGTGTATGTGTGTGTGTGCGAGTGTGTATGTGTGTATGTGCATGTGTGTGTATTTTACGCAGATCGACACTCTCTTTCTTTCTCCTTTCCTTCTCTTCTCTTCTGTGTTTTTTTTCCGCTCGCGGGCCTCTCTCTTTCTCTTCGATGTTATATAATCTCGTCTCGGCCTTCTTTATTTCTTTCACGTCCCCTACTTTGGCGCAATCTCTTCTAGTTTTCCCTATCTCCTCCTCCCTCTCTCCTCATTCAATCTCTCTTGTCTCCATCCTTGTCTATCTCACTTTGCAGTTTCCCGCGTTCAAGCTCTCTCCCTCTTCTCGTGACAC